CAACCAATCAGCATCCAGTAATTTTGTCATGCTAATAATAAATAAGTAAAGCATGCAAAACACTCAGCAACGCCTCGTGTTTAACACGCTTTTCTATTTCTTAATCGATAGGGCATAATGGCGCATTACAGTATGTAAATATCAATTGTCTCGTTAATATGATTAGCAAGTCACAATTTCAGTCTAGAAAGTGGTCAGTTTGCACTATCCTCAAGATTTCTGAGTCTGCATGTTTCAATCGATAACAGGAAAGTTGAATCTTTGAAACCCTCTTTGGAAAACTTGGAAAAGTGTTGGGAAACTGAAATTTGATAATCATGAACCGCGACGTCCGAAATGTTTCCATAATTATTTGCCAAATTTTCTCAGAGCATGAACAGCTGTTCGAAAGTTCATTAAGCAATCATGTTAAAAATGAACGTTTGTTGAGTGCATTAGTTGTGTAAGGTAAACTTTAAATTAAGAAATTGTTCCCAAACCGAGCAAGTGAATGGGTATACAAGCATCCCATTTCTTGCAGCCTACCAATCTTTAGCATATTTCATTTCATTGGGAAAATGTAATCGCAAAAACAATTATAAGAAGATATTTTACCATCAGTCTAAAATCACGAAAACATCAACTGAGTGCTTGTACGCGTTTAATTCCAACTTTGTGTATAATGATTTTGTTTGGGCTTGAACGTAATTCTATCGGAATCGTAGGGCTGTAACACGAGGAGCATCGCGTAGTCCAGTTCGAAATTAAATACTTTTTGAGTGCATAAATTTTGAGGATTGTTGGGTAAACAACATTGTTTAAACATCGAAAGGCCTTTCCCTCAATAATTGTCGTTGCACAGAAGAAAGGATCCATGGTGACAGCAATTAGGAACAACAATGGAACAACAAGAAATTCTTTGTATTTTAAGAAATTGCCCGACGATAATGACGACTATGACCGTAGCGAGCGATGGAGAAGACGCCGATAACCCTGTACATGAACCCAATGCAGCGGCGGCAGTCAAATTAAGCCCCTGAGTTGTCTTGCTATCCCAGAAGAGCGAGAAAGCGTCCTACTAGGTATGCAGAACAATAACAGCGATAAAGTGGAGAACATTAAAACGTCTGAGACTGCATATGTACTTATATTTCGGTGTCATAAAATTTTACCAATAACTTATGTTCTTCTTAAGATCGAACACGAAGTAATTTTAGTTAGCATCAAACTTTGTTTTGGTTTCTGAACACTTATGTTTTCATATAGGGTTTTTCTAAAGTTGGGAGGTATGTAGTGTTTGACTATAGTTTAATCACGTGTGTAAGGGATATGTAACCCGGATGACCACGAGGCAACGGGGTCTTTTTGGAGTTTGTAAGTATAACTAGTAATTAACGAAGCAATAAAAAGCTAAAGACAAAACACCACACTTAGACGGTGAAATACGCGTCATAGCAACAGTAGTTTTTGTGACCCCAATTAATATTACGAAAGTAATAATAAAAAGATGGATAGGAAACAGATGGCGCCAGCAGACGTGACTCACTTTAAATTCGTGATGAATTAATAACAATTATAACAAAGACGAACGACATTCACCTCGAATGCTTTGTTGTGGCACGGGAATGCTTAAAAGACAATGAAACTGTTTTGAATCTCAGCATAACTATATCCCTTATATGCAAAATATAGGAAAATGGGGAAAAAAACGCAGTAAAACTTTATACTATATTCGTTGTATTTGTGACATCACGAATTTCAAGTGAGTCACGTCTGCCTGGCGTCAGCTGTTTCCTATCCATCTTTTTAAACTATCCATCCATAGTTTAAAATAGAAGTGAACGAGTAGACGTTCGTTTTGTTCAAAAATCGTCAAAGACGGAAAGGAGGTTGTGTTTGGAACAGCACTCTCCTCCTAAAAACGTCGCACAAATATTCAGCTACAAAAAGGTCATATCTATCCGGCGTCAGTGTTAAGACAATGGCGAGATTAATTAAGCAAGGGACGTTTTTGTCAACTCGGACGTCGCGAACTCTCCATCATAGCGCACGTGTAAGGAAGCAATGTTTTGGAAGCAATTAATGAAGCTTACGTGTTGTCATATGTGTTGAAGATTACAACAAACTGTTTCTAATTCAGTCCCCCTCGGCATCTGACGTCCGTGTTGAAAAAAACGTCGCTTGCTTAATTAAGCTCCCTGATATTGCGAGTTCTATACTACTACTACTACAATACTAGAGAGCCTTGATATAGAGCTGTAAATTCCCTTTCGGTGATAAACCTAATAATTTTTATGACGCTCTGACATGAAAGGCCTGGATGCACCGTGAGCCTGCATGATATATAATACGCCTTTTTATGTCAAGACCCAAAAAGACGGTCTTTCAACGTCTTCAGCAGTTTTATTGCTTCTGTGCGTAAAACTTTGTTCTTCCAGAAAAAAATCAAACTGTTAAATGTTGAATTCATGGTGTATATAGTATTTCCCCAAATGAAAGATAACCTTACATTCTTCGACGTCGATTTCCGGCTGACAAAGCTAAACGCAAGGTACCAGCTGCTTGAAATAGTTAACAGCATAAGGCAGCCAACTACGAGTAAACAAGTAGAAATGCTTTTCGTATTAACTTTTCTTTTTACGTCAGATGACATTATGTTGTTTCGACGTACTTTTCTAGAAATCTTGAACAATTTGTAGTTTATGTACACAAGCGGTGGATAAACGATGGCTATGAAAATTATCAAAGCCACTGGGAAGGAAATAACCAAGTCGTTTGTAGATAGTATTATCAAATTAGTTGGTAGGATAAATAATATCGCGAGGAGTGTTAATAGTCTTCGTCTGGTCACGGATGTCCGATGAAAAATGGGGTAATAGACTCCCAGATATCGTTCAATATTCATCACGAGAAGAGCGAGCAAAGAAAAGCCAAGAAACACGCAAGTGAAATGCAAGTAAATATTCATCTTCGCTGCGAGATCGTGCCTTTCATTTAGCCATAAAACCAGTTGGAGCACCAATACTGGATGGCTCGTTGTCACTGTAACTAAATCGAGGCACGACAACACCATTATCATGAAATTACACAATTTCTTTCGAAGTCGTGAGGACTTTAAATGGCAGACTATCACCAATGTGTTTAAAATTATTCCAGAAAAAGTAAAGGTTACGTTTAAAACACACAAAAATATCAACTGTATGCACATTTTTAAATCCATCTTCTGGTAATGATTTACAGTTCAGATTTGAATATGATTCTATCGAAAGAGCATGCAGCCGTTCAATAGTTCATAATGGAGCATTAAGTCGTAATCGCAAGGTAAATACTCATTGAATGTATTGATAAGTTTTTGAGAGTTGTTATGTAAATATTAATTGTCATGTATGGAAATGAGGAAGCATGCAGCTTGTAAAATTTCGCACATCTGATTGTAAACGGAAAACAAAGCCATATGCGAGAATTATTTCATATATAAAGATTAATAATTATATAAGTAATTATTTTCTTCTTTTTAAGAAAACAAATGTAATCTTAAATAAGTTGAGAAAATCTTTCTTATTGCGGATGAGAAAATGATTTTATATACAGATTAGTATTTATAAGACATTTTATTTTAAGCTAGGAGACAGATGTAATCCATAGATATCTTATATACACTAGATAGCGCATCTCTTTTAGTAAAATTGAAGCCAAGAATATTCCAGCGGGTACCCCCATTTGAATAGATGGCGGCCATGTTGAAGTTTCCCACTCGCTAATAAACGCTTAATTAAAAAACAACAATAACTTTCATCATTTGAATAGTTTGAAAATGTATTTGGAATATAGGTTTAACTTAATGTTTAAGTTCCCTGCTTAAGAAATAGAAAACTTACGAGTCATCTCATTTCATGGGAATATCCTGAGTCTGCAATCACGGCTTCAATTTTTGAATTGCAGAATAATTAGATGCACTATCTGGTGTATATAAGATATCTATGATGTAATCTTAATCAATAAGTTAAGAAAATATTTCTTATTTTAAGAAAAAATGTATTGCAAATGAAATATTTCTTATTTTAAGAAATAACAAGATTTGTCCTTGTTATTAAGAAAATCATTTTCTCAATGACATTTCTTCACGCGCTTATTCTTGACTCAGTCCCGAATATCGAATTGATCGTCATCCTTACACATATCTCTTGGGGAGGCGAAACAGGGATGAAAGTGGGCGAGCGAAGAATTATTCGAGTGAGGAAATATTCATGATCCCCCGTTGCACGGTTTGAAACCAGGGGCGCCGGAAAGTCGATAATTGGGGGGGGGGCAGATATTCATACATTCATGTTCTGCATCATTTATTCCCTTTGAAAGCGATTGTTTTTACAGTCTGTGAACATGAATATATGAATATCTGCCCCCCCTCCGATTATCGACTTTCCGGCGCCCCTGTTTGAAACAGCTTTGTGCATGGGTGGTTGGATTTTTTAACTGTAGAGAATTTTGCCGGTCAAATCTTCCCCAGAATGCAGAAAATGCCATCCCTGTTTCTTACTATCCTTGTTAATATACAGTGTTGCGTATCTTGCCCGCATCAGCGTTGCGTATCTTACCCGAGGGCATGCCCCGGTCGCCAAGAATCGTGACTCACAAATTATTATACGCTCCAAAATAAAATTCTGGCCACGCTACTGATGATAACGTACACATGTACGTGCGAACGTTTCTTTACTGTCAAGTCAATTTGTTTACTGCCACAATATATAGAAACTGAAAAAAACACACAACAAAAACATTAAAGTACAGTGATAGCCCAAAGAGAAACCAGAAGGCTTATACGATTTGGGCTCCTTATTCATGAGTTTGATAGATCTGAAGGCAGCTTAGCATAAACATAACATTATTAACAATGAATTACAGTATTTATTTGGTTGTTACAAAATATGACAAATGGAGAAGTTATAGCTACTAATTGGAGACTGTCAAATTAAGAATAAAAAATGATAGATAGATATATTAATAGCTATCAATAAAGTACTGTTTAATAAACGAGCAGGAGTGTTTTATTAGGTTTAAAGCCACGAGCGCGAAGCGCGAGTGGCTTTAGACCTAATAAAACACGACCTGCGAGTTCATTAAACGGCTTCAAACACGACTACAAATTCAATAGATATACTGCCTTATTAGCATTCTTTATATAAAAAATACTAATGAGGACACGACTACAATAGATACTGCCTTATTAGTATTCTTTATATAAAGTTCAAAAACTCATTAATAATTCATGAGGCAATTATCCAATCTTGAGTAAGAAATTAGTCACGTGCATACGTCTTTATACCAGCTAAAGAACACTTTAACAAAAGACCATTGTTATGCAAACTATATAAAGGTTTTTATATAAAGATTTTTATATAAAGATTTTTATATAAAGATTTTTATATAAAGATTTGACTTATTATGCATACGTTTTTGAAGCCATTTAAAAAACTCGCGGGTCGTGTTTTATTAGGTCTAAAGCCACTCGCGCTGCGCGCTCGTTTCTTTAAACCTAACAAAACACTCCTGCTCGTTTTTTAAATAGTACATTACTAATTAGGAGTATTTTATCAGGTTTAAAGCCACTGCACGTGACATATTATGGTTGACATGATTTGCGAATAAGCTTATGAATTATTAATGAGTGTTTGAAATACTCAATAATAATACAAAATTTAAACAGATTATTAATATAAGATTTAACTGTTAAACTGTTCAATTAAAGAGAAAACAGATAATTCTTCAATTTAGATTGAAAACAATAAACAGCTGACGCATCACGGATATTCCGGCTAAGTGAATTAAAAAATTTTTGAGCCTGATAAATAACTGACAATTGTGATATAAATTAGAATTACGTGTATCATATTTGTGAACTTGTTCAGTGCGTAGAAACAAATTATCGAAACTTCGAGGAAGCATTTTTTTGTATAAAAACATAAATTTCCCCAGTTGAAGTAAATAAATATTAGCTATCAAATTTGAGAATCGATAATCGCTTTAAAAATGGGATCGGTGTGTGCATCAAAATCTTCCTTGCTAACAATTCTAATTATATGTTTCTGAAGCAAAATAATACGATTAAGATTCGTGGGGCGTATGTAGAGCAATGATACAATAACTGATAAAATACTGATATACAATACTGAAATATCCCATTGTCCGCATGCTCGTGTAGTTTAGAACATTTTAAAATAATGTCTTAATACAAAGAGACAAGATGTACTTAAGGTGGCTCCCTACAGTTCTCTAAAATTCTAGGTATTTTGTGTAACGTTCGCTTTGTACAGAATTTATATTAGATACACTTAAGATAAGGCAATATGATCATTTCCAAGAAAGTTCAGAAGTTGTGTGCTGTCCATTTATGAACAAATTAAAACAGTGTTCGTGTTGCCATGGCAACCATGACGTTTAATCTTTCGCACTTTTATTGTCTAATTTCACAATAAATTGACAACATCTATATTTTCCTTCGGTGAATTTTTCTGAAATTGTTTTTGAAGATTTATGATCCATAAAGGAAAAATATATCAAAATTTGAAAGGAATTTACACATAAGTTTTCGAGATATTCGTGAATGACGGTTACAGAAAAAGTTATGTGTAAAATTTCTTAAAATTTGAATATGTTGTACCACTCGTCTTGTATAACAAAGATACAAAGTTTAAAAAAATTTCAACGAAGAAAACACGAGAAAATCATCGCTAAAATCGGCGTGGCCAGCATGAAAAAAAATCGACTCGACATGAGCACGATCTGCGCATGTGTGTAAATTGTAGCGTGTGATTTGTGGTGATTTCAACTTTTTGGCTTACAATACATACGAAAACAGATATTTCTTACTTGTTTGACATGAAAATAAAATATTAATCTTGAAAATACTAATTCAAATATATTCATCATGGCGGACAGTTCTAATTTTGTGAGCTCTACAAAATTCCATCAAAATATCCCGAAAATATGGAACGCTAAAGAAATTTGTAATCATACAGCTTCTTCCAACTTAAGTTATGATACTAAACGAATTAAATGGATTGGAACTTTTGATATATTGTAGAAATTTGTCGAATGCGATCTTAAATTGGATGGCAAATGGTCTTCGCCAGGCGGTTGTTCGAAAAAGTTTACGTGCTATAATCTAGATATATCAATAACTTGGTACCCCAAAAAACTAAATACACTCGTATTTCACGGTGAGGAAAGCTCGGGTTTGGTTGACGCGCTAATAAATGTGTGTGCAGAGGCAATCTCTGAAGACGACGGTTTATCAAACAATGTATGTGTGTCGGCCATACATAGTTCGATTGCAACTATAAACCCAGCTGTTGATGAACCTGAACAGATGTCTAATCACTGTATTAAGGACTTTGAACTAACTGATAATCATCAAAAGGTCAGTATAGAACATGATTTCAAACCTGGCTGTCAGTGTATAATTTTAGCTGCTGATTTGGAGGGAGTTAAGCTCGATATAGCAATCATGTCCAGGGACATAGAAACTAAGTTTCTTGCAGCTTACAATTCACGGGATAGTGATAGTGAATAAATAAGTGAACTTAAACACGAGCTTCGTAAGGAAAAGGAGAAATGTAGTCAGTTGGAGGCTGATATATCTATTTTGGTTCGAGGAAGGAATAGGGAGATAAACGAATTAAAAAATACCATTACCTGTCTCGAAAACAAACTTAAATCAAGCGATGTCATAAATGAATCTCTAAGACAATCGCTAATGCAAATTAATTCAGAAAAATTCAATGGTGTATTGAGTGCCGAACAAAGCCTGTCAAACCAACCTGAACAAATTAATACTTATAACTGCATCATAGACACTAAAATCGATAGAAACTGCAAATTCAAACCTAGGAATTTGTTTACCAGGTGAACCATTTATTCCCGAAACTGTCAGCGTTGAAAGCCCCTTGATAATTCATGTTTAATTGTCCAACCAGCAAGTTGTCATAGAACTAACAATAAACTCGACAACAAATGTGAAATTAACAAAGTGAAGTTAACGGAGCATAGTATGAATAACGACAAAATCAGTAAAGCTAAGGTCTCACGAAGTTACTCTCGACGCAATCTTAATTCTCCCCCTTACTCTGAGCCATTGTCGCTGAAATCGCTTGGAAACTTGCCTCTTATCGAAATATCCAAGCCATTTATAACTCAGAAGAAGGAAACCTTTTTAGAAAACCCATCAAATATATTGAATGATAATACAACTAGCACTGAGACAGTTACTCAGCATGTGTGCATTGGCCAAATACCAGCTGATATCTCTGAATTTATTGTCTTAGACGGCGACGAATGCATGTCTGAGTGTGACAATACTAATAACTGTCTTTTTCGGCAGAGCTTTCTGGAGCGTCCCCCGCCCTTGCCTCATGTTCGAAGAGCGGAATGGTTGGCGCATTTAAATCTTGTTCGCCGGCTGACGGCGAAGTAAATTCTAAAGAAAATGAGAGAGAATCACATGGAAATTACAGTTCGATTCCCGTTGAACTTCTTGTTCAAAAAATTCCTGTGAGAATAACCCATCGCGTATCAAACTTTCAAAGAAAAATAAATGCAATACCTAGACAATTAAGAACACTACAGCATTGTCCTGAACACATACAAATGGAAAATCAATCGGTTCCAGTACCAGGGAAAAGTTTCAACCGTACAAATAATTTAATTTATATTAGTGGCCACCAAACCAAAAAAACGCCCTTACTCTCTTCTCTACCGAATTTATTTGTTTCTAATTCAAGATCGCTGATCAGCAAGATTGACGAACTGTCTGCTACAGTAAAATCCTACACATCAGACATTTTCGTTGTTACCGAAACGTGGCTTTCTTCAAATGTTCCTAATTCAGCAATAGATTTATGCGGTTATTCCTTACTGAGGCATGATCGTTCCGACGGCAGACGAGGAGGTGGAGTCTGTGTCTTTGTAAAGGACATGCTTCCGTTCATTCATCTTAAAGAGATTGAAAGTCACGAATATGAGTCGCTTTGGTTACTCTTAAAACCTCACCGCTTGCCTCGTGGTTAAATTCAATTGTATTGGGAATCGTGTACCATCCACCTGGAAGGGACGATAAAGCCTTTCTTTCACACCTTACCGAATCAATTGATTCTGTCCTTTCCACCAATCCCGGTGCAGGAATTATTTTGGCCGGAGATTTTAACCAATTTAAACATCGCCAGTTATGCAGTTCCTTTAACCTCAAGCAGTTAGTCAAAGACGCTACTAGAGGAAAGAATATTTTAGATAAAATATTTACCAACATTTCTACATTTTATAATTCTGCCCTGGTAATTTCTCCAATTGGACATTCCGATCATAATTCCATCGTTCTTAAACCTCTTCCAGCTAACTCTTATGGTGGCACAAGGTCTACACGTTTAGTACGAGACTCTCGCCCAACTAATCGTCGAATTGTTAGCGATCATCTGTCGAAAGTTAATTGGTTACCTTTGCACCATATGGAATCTTGTGACGAGCAGTTCCAGTATTTTTCCACCATCGTAGATAATATCATAAACGAACATTTGCCTTGGAAACAAATCAAAATTGATTCTAGTGACAAGCCCTGGATTATTTCCGAAATAAAATCTCTCATTTCCAAGCGGCAGACAACATGGGCTGCTGGCAATAACCTGATGTTCAGATTCTATCGAAACAAAGTCAATGCACTTTGCAAGAAGGCACGACTAAATTACTACAATAAAAGTATCGCGGGCGTTCAACAGTCCGATTCTCGTAAATGGTGGTCAGCGGTGAAGAATATTGCTGGTCTTCAGTCTTCTAAGAATGTATCTACAATGATGTTCCAAGGTAAATCCTACTCTGATGCCGATTTAGCAAATTTGCTCAACGACAAGTTCGTTGGTCCTCCTTACCCAATCTAAACTGGCTCCCCCTTCCCACAAATGACATTCCAGATGATTTCTGCATCTCTGTCGAGGAGACTGAAAAGGCCCTATTATCATCGAAACTTCATTCATCTGCTGGTCCCGATGAAATTCCTTCTTGGCTCCTCCGGGAAAACGCTTCAGTGTTGTGTCGACCTTTGTGTTCTATTTTTAATTCATCAGTTCGTGAAGGATTTGTTCCCTCAATATGGAAGGCAGAAATATTACACCAGTTCATAAATCTTCGCCTCCTAAAGATGTCGATTCTGACTTCAGACCAATTTCCCTCACACCAATTATCAGCAAGATTCTTGAATCCTTTCCCTACAAATGGCTACTTGACTCCGTCTCAAAAAATTGATTCCTTGCAATTTGGTTCGCTGAAGGGTTCAAGCACTAGTATGGCATTAATCTACATGCTACATAAATGGTTTGAAGCAGCTGACAAACAAGGTAACACTATACGGATTTGTTTACTTGATTTTTCCAAGGCGTTTGATAGATTAGATTATAACATTCTGTTGGAAAAATTGAAAGACATGGAAATTCATCCCGTGTTACTCAACTGGATCGCAAACTTCCTAACAGACAGACAACAAAGAACCCGTGTTGGTCAGTTCTTTTCTGAGTGGAAGTTTTTAAACGCCGGCGTCCCACAAGGAACGAAGCTTGTCCCGCTATTATTTTTGATCATGATAAATGACTTGGCTGTAGCGGATGAAACTGTTAAATTTGTCGATGATACTAGCCTTTGGGAAATAATATCAAACAATTCCCCTTCCCAGTTACCCGCTAACATCATCAGCTGCTCTGAATGGTCATCAGACAATAATATGAAGTTAAACGTATCAAAGACCAAAGAATTGCGTGTCTGCTTTTCTAAGCTTACTCCATCGTTTGCCCCTATTACCATTCGCGGTCAAGAGGTCGACGTCGTTTCCGAGGCCAAACTATTGGGCGTTGTCCTTTCGGACGACCTCAAATGGAACTGCCATATTGACTACATTTGCAAGAAAGCCGCGAAGCGTTTGTACGGTCTGCGCCTTCTTAAAAGAAATGCTTTGCCTTCTCATATTCTGATCTCAACCTATTGTACACATATTCGACCAATTGTCGAATATGCTTGTCAGGTGTGGCATTATGGCCTTCCTCATTACCTGAGTGATCAAGTTGAAGAAATACAAAAAAGGGCATTAAAAATTATTTTCCCTGGAACTATCTATGCTGAATGTTTGCTTAAAGCTAACTTGATGACTCTTTACGAACGTATAACTGTCCTTTGCAAGCGACTTTTTTCGAAGATGTTGGAACCCACTCATAAACTGAATGCCTTAGTACCGCCTAAAAGTCTTCAAACTTATAATCTGAGGTCTTATCCCAACTTATTAGTACCTAGGTGTAGAACTGAACGTTTTTCGAACAGTTTCATTCCTGCTGCGTCTCGTGCTTATAATAATAAGTAAACTTTAGATTATTATCGCTATTTTTATCTAACTTACCTATTTTTACCTGTAAATATAGAATAGATTGAATACCTATGTTCTTATACCCTGTAATTCCAAAGTAATTCAGTTGTTACTGCTAGTTTGGAAATTTATAATATTAATAATAATAATAATAATCCACGTTAAAACAACGTTGAGATTGGTTCACAAATCGACGTCGTACATTTAACCATGAATTCAACGTCTGTTGGCTGCTGTTGAACCAATGTTTGTAAAACAACGTCAGAGCAACGTAGATATTAGGTTGTCGACGTCGCAACCTTTTTTCTACCAAATTTCAACGTTGAAACAACGTCGTGTGTCCGGTGGATAAAGCCTCATTAATATCATTATCGTGACTCAACCTACGCAAAATTGGTGATTCTTAAGCCTGGCGCACACGATGACATACCGATATACATCGGTATACCCCGCACACGTTTACGAAAAAATATGCTCCCTCAACTGTAGCCGCCATGTTGCCTAATGAATACAAGCACGTTATCACAGCATGAAATCTGATTGGTTATACTTAAAATTCCACCGATAAAAATCGTATAATATCAAAACGTTTTGATGTTGTCCGATTAAAATCGAGCAACAAAAATCGGTTAAAAATGACACCGCACACACAACGATTTTGTTAGTTTTAGTCAAACGATTTTTATCGGCCGACTAAAATCGCATCGTGTGCGCCAAGCTTTACTCTTTACCATGGGAACTGCATGCGTGGTCAATATGGCATGGTCGACAAAATCGATCAGTCAAAATAACTCATTGGTTGCCCCTCAAATCCTTATCGAGTGACAATTTACAAAACTCGAGGCAGGAGTAACCAACAACCTGTTATCGTATCATAAAGAAGGAGATCACTATAATTATACGTGTGCACAAAGTCTGTCTATTATCATAGGTTTCACATAGGTCGCTTTGAGTGATTTTAAGCTACAGTACTTTAAGTCGTTGTTAGCATATATTAACTTGTCCGACCAATCAAAACTTGGATTTTTACATAAATATATCTGCATAACTGAATATAAGCTATGCTAAGTCCTTCGGTCCAGGTCAACTATTACAATTAAAGTTCAAAGTTAATGTTTGTAGAAGTTGTTCAAATCATGGAAGTTGTTTCATCTGTGACCTTTCAAACTGAAAAAGGGAAATATATCAAAGTGACGTACTGGTATAAAGTACATGCAAGAACAGTAATGAGTATCACTAATATTAAACTAAAATGGTTATTAAATAATTTGAAAAACTTAAAAACAAATTGTACTGATCAACTTATGTCTTATATCAACTAATCAGCCAGCCAATTACATATTTCCAACAATACATATGATTCTTGTATTTCTTGAAATTGTGCTTGGATTTAATATGCAAATTACCAACCAGAAACGGTATGACATAACATTATGTCTTTCAAAATTATGTAAAGCAATACAAAATTTTCATGTAAGAATATATTTCGTAGCAATACAAACAAAAATATAAAAATAACTCAGAGCTAACTATGAATAGTATCTCGGGTGACGAAAAACACCGCACTAAATTGTTAAATTACAGCTTCAAAACTTTAAATATTCTTTGTAAATGAGACTAGATAAGACCATATATGTACCTTCTTTTTAAATAAATCATTCATTGATTGATGATTTAGAAAGAAATCGACGTTGAAAATCTTTTTGCAGTTAACTCCCTAAGAACTCTATATAAAATCCTCCATTTTTACTTGCTGGGAAAATGGCGGCCGAGATGCGCGAGGCGGCATGCGCGGTGCCATTTACATCAAAGGTTCCGACTTGAGTGGAACTTCTGTATCATATCTTTATTCTGTGACAGTAGTTTTGCGTTGCTTCATGGTTTTGCCCCAGAATTCACAAAGCTGTCGTAATAAAGAAAAAAAGAGCGATGTTTAAACAATAGTTAGAGGACAAAATCGAACAAACACATAACCACTGTGCTGTGTAGGTATTGTTTGAAAACAATGAATACTTACATGTTGCAGCTTTTTGCGACTAAATCCCAATCAATGTCAACTTCGTAGCATTTTCTGAGATTCTTTTCAACAGCTTCATCGCTATGCCAAGCCATAGTTTTTACCGTAATTTGGATAAAAATTTTATTGTGGTGTTTCTCGACAATTTTCGGTAACGGAATGACAAGAAAGGATTTTTAGCATGTTTTATACTGTGTAATTCAAGAACATATGTCAGTCAAAATTGGCGTTGCTATTGTTTCAGATCACAAGGCCGGAAATCTGAGCATTGTCGAAACCTTTATAGTTAGCCTGTTAGCTGTGAGGGAAAACGTTTGCCGAGCATGTATACACCAGTTATGACGTATATGCCAACTTCAAATCAATCACCGCAAAATGATTATGAGCATTGAAATATTTTCAGTGAGTATAGTAAAATTGTCGGATGACATGCACACCGCAAACAATAAATAGCAGTATCGAACGAGTGAAATATACAAATATAAGAGCTTACATGCAGTAACTTTAAACAGGGCCTCTCAGAGAAATTTGAGAGACAAATCTTCTGGGGGTCCAAATCTACTGGGGGTCCAAATCCGCTGTGACACCGGGGCAAATTTTTAATATTGCCCCTATTTTTGTTGGACAGTTATAGCAATGTTTAGCTCAAACTTTAAATTATTTAATGCCTAAGCCAGCGACCTGTAATGTTCTGTAATGCGGAGTTATGACTAAACCTTTAAAAACATTACAAAGAATCTTTCCTACCCCTAAACATCAAGTTTAATCCGAACAACGTATCAACGTCGTATACAATGTACCTTGCCCTGACTGCTTGTGGTCATATGTTGGCGAAACCGGAAGATCATTTGGAACTCGAAAAAAGAAGTTATTCCAAATGTAAAAAACTATAAAAAACATAGCTAAACATACATTCCAATATGAATTATATATATGAATATATGGATCATATAATTGATTTTTATAACGGGAAAGTAATTGATAGTGGCAACTATCGGACACGTAAAACATTAGAATCTTGGCATACTGCTATAATAATAAATTCTGACAATAATCGCTTCCTAAAGAATATGCAGTGCTATGCTAGTTAATAAAAATTGTCATCGCTAGACGCTATAATTATCATACTTATCACTTATTGTTATATATATATCACCTAACACGTGCACGCTTGTAATTAATTAATTCAGTCTTTCCCCGTCGAACACTACAGTTAGGAAGTCGCGAAAGCTCGTTTAAATAAAAATCTTAGTCACTGAGGGTTTACTTTTAATTATGTCTAAACCTAGCTACGTACGCTGTCTCCATATTTTCTTATAAAAATTCATTTTCTTGTTATAACTCATGTACTAAGCTTGAATGTTTGGCAAGGTTTCTAAAGAACCACGGAACATGGTTGTATTTAATATCATTCGTGTTCTGAGCTTGATTGGCATATTATAATAATTCAGTATCTTGTTATAATTCATGTACTAAGCTTGTTTGGCATGTAAAATGATGATAAGGTTTCTAAAGAACGACGGAACACGGTTGTATTTAATATCATTCGTGTTCTAAGCGTAATTGGCATGTATTATAATAATTCAGTTTTATGTTATAATTCATGTACTAAGCTTGTATGGCATGTAAAATTATGATAAGGTTTTTAAAGACTAAGAATATTGTTGTAAAGAACAAGGGAATATGGAACATATACTTGTTTCTTTGGCGTCCCTTTTTGCCATCGGTAAAATAATTGTCGGACCGCGAAAACGTTTGTCCGATGGATCGGATCGATCGATCGGACCATTCGACATTCACACATCGCACAATGAACTTGCACTGCCAACCGAGACACTCACGCAGTAACTGCGCAGCAGGCGTATATTTGCTTTCGGCAGCAATCCGTAAAATATTGTCCGACGGTAAACAAGATTGTCCAATGGATCCATCCGTACCATCTGTAAGCCTGCTTTGTCAACTATACGCTGATTTCCACGACGGGCGTGTGGATTACATGATATTATATGACAAAATATTACACACACTAAACTACAAATAACTACAAAACAATTATGCACACAACTAATAACATAATTAATATTAGAAATTATAAGCGTCAATTGCATTTCTGAATGTTGGTAATGTATCTGAATCACGCATATCTGCAGGTAATGAGTTTCACAATTTAGCACCATCATAATAGAGCTTTTCTTAAGGTTTACAGTTTTCGGCAAAGGTAGTTGTAATGAGGTAGAGGAGCCTCTAAGCCTTATTCTGTTATGTTTCTTTTGCGTACGAAGAGAGTAGCGAGTGAACTTGGAGCCAAATCATTTAGAACTTTGTACATTTGTTTAGCTTTAGAGTTGGCTCGTCGAGTTTCAAGAGGCTCCCACCCTAGAGCGTTTACTGCTTCTATACCAGGTGTATTGTACCTCAAATTCATTATTATTCTTGCAGCTCTATTCTGTAGTTTTTGATGTCTGCTGGAGAGCCCCACACCAAGTGTATCCCATACTACAATAGTCAAAATGAGGACCTATTAAAGAATTATAAATAGAAGAGAGAGTTTATCTGCCAACAAAATCACGGATTCTTCGCATAGCTCCAATTCCAGACGTAACCTTTTTAACTACATTTTCAATGTGTTTGTTCCAAGATAGATTTTCGTCAATTTCAAAGCCAAGAACTCTACTATGTTGAACTTGTTCATCCAAAGAAATCCCAGGCATCAATTACATTGTATTGGCTGTCGTAAATTTTAACCATATGGCTTCATCCCTCTTGAATCCTGGTTTACCTTGACATAATGGCAAATAACAGTGAGAATCTTTTACAACGCATACGTATCTGCGATAGTTTGGCAGAGAGCAAAGTTAGCACTTTTTCTTTCACTCTGCGCATGTCGTCGACAACTTAAATAATTAATTACAATTTCACGAAAAATAAGATATATTTGTTCCAGAATTTATACCGATATGGAATAGACACAACTGGTTAGTTTACCCGGTGGATGGCAGGGTGGCGCAGTGGAAGCGTGCTGGGCCCATAACCCAGAGGTCAATGGATCGAGACCATTTCCGGCTATTATTATTGTGCCAAAATCTGCTTCATTCCGAAACAATAAGTTTCGAAAAAAGAATACCGATAACATGACTTGCTCCCGTGGCCCAGTCGGTTAGTGCGTCGTACTTATAAGCAGTTTTGAAGTATATGCGAAGGTCGAGGGTTCGATCCCCACCGGGAGCACGTTTTTAGCCATTTTTCCCATTCTAAAATATTCGATTTCGTGTCTGAAATTAAGAAAATGGCAACTGGCAGCTGTGGAATTCGAACCCAAGTCATCGAAATGACTGACGCCTAAAACCAGCCACAATATATAGTGTACTTGCTATACACATGCTAATTTGGGCAGTTTCAGCCGAACAATGGGCAAAAAACCGTCGAAAAACAAAAAATGCTATAACCGTTGCCATAGTAACAGGTTCGGCATATTCAAACAATAATAATAAAAGCCTTTAAAATACATGAAGATGTTGGAATTTCAAAAACTCTTCAGTTTTCCATATGTTAGTTAGGTACCTGTAGTACCTGAAAAAAATGCGAAAAAAAAATTCACAAAATTTCAGGTCTACTCCCTCCTTTTACCCGATGGAGTAGGGTTGCGCAGTGGAAGCGTGCTGGGCCCATAATCCAGAGGTCAATGGGTCGAGACCATTTCCTGCTATTATTATTATGCCCAAATCTGCTTCATTCCGAAACAATAAGTTTCGAAAAAAATAACACCCTTAACATGACTTGCTCCCGTGGCCCGGTCGGTTAGTGCGTCGTACTTATGAGCAGTAGTGAAGTATATGCGAAGGTCGAGGGTTCGGTCCCCTGCGGGAGCATGCTTTAGCCATCTTTCCCTAACCATTATTTGGAAACATTTAATGAAACAATAGGTTAAAATATTCGATTTAGAATCCGGAATTCACAAGTAACAACTGGCACCGGTGGGATTCGAACCACGTCATCAAAATAACTGGTGGCTAAAACCAGCGCCTTAGACCACTTAGCCACGCTACCATATGGGATGCGTAACAACATTTCTTCAACAATAAGTTTCCAGAAGTCTTCAAAAATCCCGCGAACGTCAATTTAGAGTGGAGAAGTTCATTAATGAAACATCGAAAATCGAATGGTTCTGTGGTGTAATGGTTAGCCTTTTGGACTCTGAATCCAAGGATCCGAGTTCAACTCTCGCAGAACCTCAAGTCTAACCTTATTTTTGTTTCCTTCACGTTGTTCCGGTTTACTGCATTGTTCCATATGGTTTCTTCTCCGCCGAAGATATTTCATCCGGATCGAGCCTTCTTCAATACACCCTTTTTCACAAGACGGAAATGCCAAGGAAATTCTAGGCATCAATTCAGTTGTATTGGCTATCGGGAATTTTAATCATATGGTTTCATCCCTGTTGAATCCTGGAGAAAAAGAACATTTATGAAAGTACAACTTGAATCAAATCATCAAATCAAGTGTCGGCCGAACATCGTGTGTAATATTATTTCTGTTTCTTCCACGTTGCTCCGCTTCACCACGTTGTTTTAAATATTCCTGTCTTAATTTTCCTTATGTCCGTATTATTTAGAAAAATGATATAGGATGATACCTGCATTCTTTTGCGTTCAATAATAACAATTTGCCGGGACTGGTTTTGATCCATTGACGTATGGGTGATGTGGCAAGCAGGCTTCAAAGTTCGTTGTATCACTTTCTTGTATGTAATATATACAACTCGATGATTCCAAGGAGTAGGGTGACAATAAAGCATTCAAGCGAAGTCGAACACTGGAAAATGGAACGAGCAATGAAAAAGAAACCCATGAAGAAAAACAATCAAGACATTTAAACAACCAGACAATGTTCAACAACTATATGGAGTAAGCTGAATTGAATTTTAACAATGTGTTGCGACCGATAAAATACCACAGGATAGGTTGTGTGGCCAACAAAGAACTAGAGAACCATGGTTCGGATGAAGTAGTTGTCAAGGTTATACTGTTACTTTTTATTTTAAAAACAAGGAATGCCAACAGGAAAGAAGCAGTGAGAGAAGTAATACTTACCTGCTGGCATGGAAAAATGGATAAGTTACAGGAGACATGCCATCCACCAAAAAATATCAATCGTTAGTAACTCAGTCATTGCAGTCCTAAGACTGAATTACAATTGGTTGGATACAGCTATTTTATTTAAGGTTGTCCACGAGCAAAGCGGAAAAGTCGAATACGAGCGCGAAAGGCCTTTTGCGCTCGTATTCGACTTTTCCGCTTTGCTCGTGGACAACCTTAATAGAAATAGCTGTATTTAGATTTGAAAATATGGACACTTTATATAAAAATTAAGCTATATTATACCAGTATGGAAAAATGATTCTTAGTGCTCTTTTCTGAATTCGTTCGATTTCTTCTGGTAGATACTCTAACTACGGAGGCTTGAGTGGAAAGCCTGACATCCATATTCGAGGACAGATGTAATTCAGGCGCGGTAAAATTTGATCAAGGAGATAGTATCAACGTCCGCACGCTTTAATTGTTTCAAAAGATAAAATGGCTTTGAAACTTTCAATAGCATATTTGCTATGGGCTCTACGATTTTCGCAGATGTTATCACTTCAAAGTGCTGGTAATTTACTTTCATTGGATCGTCTCTGCAAGGGTCTTTAGTAAACTTCATTCAAGTTTTCATTTTCCAGGGTTTAACTAAAATTTATTATTATTCAACCAAGTAGCCACATGATCAACAGTATTTTGTAAATTATCATTATCAGTCCTGGGGATAACCTGCGAAATAGTGGAGTCGTCTGCGAATTTCCATATCTTGTTTGTTGAATCTACGAACTGAAACGCTCAAATCGTTAATCATAACGAGAAACAACCATGGTGCCAATTTGGTTCCTTGGGGTACCCCAGCCGAGACTTGCAGTACGTATACATTGGGACGGCATTCATAATTCACTTTATCTCTTTGGGTACGCTTACGTAAGAAGTCGTCGATAATCCAGTTGACGACAAGTGATAAAGTCAGCCGATGATCCAGCTGACAAGTGATGAAGCAGAAAATTATGAATTAAAACCGGGGAACAAAGTGAGAATGAAGGAGATGAACCGGAAACAATCAAGTATATTTCAGAAATACACGGCGTTACGAAAATGATTGTTACTTATTGTTTAAATACTGAGGAACGCAAAATAGAAGTGAGACGGAGTGGAAAAAGTAACTGTTCCCTCTGAGAATAAGTTAGACGTTTCATTGGTGGGATATCTTTAAGTACGATCGTTTCGAAAAGACCTCAATTGCGTGCAGAAATAAAGAGACTTTTGATATTTCGTTCTATTTCTGTGATTACTCCCCCCCCCCGCCCCTATTCAATGTTGAAAAAACTTTTGACCTGACAATATACCTTAATTTGCATCGTTTGTTCACCATTGCTTGTGGCGGGAGGGGGGCAATAACTTAGTTGTCTCAATAATTTTTGCACGGGATTCAATCGCGTGCAAAAATAATGAGACTTTCGATATTTCGTACTATTTCTGTGGTTACTCCACCCCCTTCCCCGCATTCAATGTTGAAAAAACATTCTGACCTGACAATATACCTTAATTTGTATCGTTTGTCCAACATTGTTTGTGGGGGGAGGGGGGGGGGTAAATAACTTAGTTGTCTCAATAATTTTTACTATGAGAGGTCGTACATTTACCATTAAAATCGTGTGATTTTCAATAGTAATTTATACTTTCTGTAAGCAGATGCGTAGGCATGAGGGAGAGATGGGGAGGGTCCGCCCATCCCCACACACACATTTTTCTTCTGGACAATTGTGTGATTCTTTCAAAACAAAATGCTTGAAATGGCGTTTCACAGGCATTGACAAATATAGGTTGTTTAGGCACTTATAACGTAGAATATAAAATATTTTTCGTAAAGAGGGGTGGTGTCTTTTTTAGCAGCATTAAAAATAGCTTGCGCGCGAAATTTAAAAGTTTAAAACGCATATTTACTCAATTTTAAGTCGTTCAAATAGCTGCTGAAATTTTCATATTTTGGGTACCAATGCCTTTCACGCATGCTTAATTCATACTTTTACCTAATTTGCATATTGTCATTTACAAAAAAGTAAAATGACAATATTAATAATGCAAATAAGGTAAATGCATGAATTAAGCATGCGTGAAAGGCATTGACGCCAAAAAATGAAAGTTTCAGCAGCTATTTAATTTTAAAGGACTTAAAATTGAGTAAATTTTCTGATATTTAGACCATTGATAAAACACAAACAAATTTTCTCGCTCATGAACTTATTTAATAAAATGCGTTTTAAACTTTTAAATTTCACGCGCACGCTATTTTTAATGCTATTTAAAAAGCCCCCGCCCCCCCTCTGCTCTGGAAAATTTATCTTTACGAACTTTTTTTGGTGTATTCTACATTATAAGTGCTCAAACAATCTATATTTATCAAAAATTTCATGAAATGAACAGATTAATTTTGTGAAATTGAGAGAAATTCGTTTCAAAATTGTCTACTATTTTCATGCAGAAAGCATAAAATATCACGAAGCAATCTGCTATGTACTCCATATAAAATTGCCCTTTACATTGATTGAATGTCCACTAAAACTAGACCAGGGTAAATTACAATAGCTACATGTAAACTCCAAGGAATGATGGACTTTAAGCTCAGCTTCAAGAATCTAAGCCTAAATTTATACTCATATAACATATGTGATTTTGAAGAGAATAAATGTAATCAATGCACATTTTTACTGTTTATCACTACACAGTTTTACTTTATCGCTGCACAATTTGGTTATTACTGCATACTAAAATTAGGTATGTTCGTAGCTATAAACTAAAAAGTATTGTTCATGATTGGGCAATACAGTGTATGTCTATTTACGGCACGCGTTGTCCGCAATATTTTTTTTCCAGGATCGTATACGCATAAAGACTGACTATCTGCGTACCTGCATTTTGTGTGCACCGGAAAACGTTGTATAATATCCAAATCGTAAGAAGAGGGTGGAAAATGGGGGGGGGGGGGGT